CCACCGTGTTGCGCGGCGGCTGTGCTTTTGAAGGATCAGTCTTCAACGCGCCTCTAATTAAAGCTGTCATGGCTGGGTGCCTGCAGGGATAATGTTCTATTATTATAGTCATTTGTTTCAATTAAACGCTGGGTGATTTTACAATAGCAGCCGTGAACCTGTGTGAGTGAGCCATCACTCTAAACAAGATGGCTCCAGTCAAGCAGGGGGTGAGGAGTGGAAAGTCTCGGGACTCGCAGAAGCATTGATCACCGTATATTTAAGCAAGCCAGGACGGGACAGGGAGAGGGTCTGAAAGTCTGAGAGCGCAGATTAAAGCAGTTCAGCAGGTGATGTTTCCTTAAAATCTAAATACTAAAAGAAATCATGTAACTTTATGGGGAAAATGCTCTATAATTAGCAAATACATTTTACTTTTTATTTACATTTTAATGCAAGTTAACTAAAAGTGAATTGACTCAGCTCTACAGAAGGAACTTAATTAACCCCCTCCCCCAAAGATTTATTTTGATGGTGATAATAAGTTGAAACATAACCACAACTTTTATAGATCCTTTTGCATCGAGAGACTGGTTTATCATGATGCCAGGGCAATAAAACCTTGCATAGTAATCAACCCGCTTATGTAAATGATGAAACAGATGCCATTCTGGTGTAATCATCATAAGGACGGAGCAAGGTTAGCCGTTTTACTCTCCTCCGGTATGAATCTCTCCTCTTTCTCCTTGTAGCTGCACATGGCTCTCTTCTCCCCTTCTCTCATCTCTGTGCTGGTGGTCAAATCCCCTTAGCTAAATCAAATGGTGCAGGCAATTGGAGCGGCCGTGAAACCATTTCAAAGGTAAGGTCAGCAGGAGCAAGGGAACAATGGCTTTGTGATATTCCATCTCGCACACAATGTGCTACACATAATTGGAAAGCCTTTGTTATTTGACTCCCATTTGACTATGATGTACAAGATGTGAATACAAACACGACAGGCGTAACGATTGTAGAGGACCACGTTCACACAGAGTTTCCTGGCTTTACATCACAGTTTAGGTCTGCCTGGCTGCTCATCACCAAAAGGCAATATCTAACTGTCCCCTTGATAACTTTGGAGATGGATTTTAGTACTTGGGTCATGTGGGGTTTTTGTATCTTTTTTCTCTGTCTGTTTCCCTACTTTTCCCCTCTGTTATGTCTTTGTGTGTCTCTCTCTCTGTTCCAGTGTACTCTTTACTTCCCCTCCCTTTTTCCTCTTTCCTGTTTACGTGGGACACTGATCTCCTGGGGCTTTACAGCAAACAACTATATTGCTGGAGGTTAAGCACAGCTATGACAATACCCACGAGAACTCAGAATGCAACTTTATAAATAATCTAATTATATAAATTTAGGCCACTGCATCGCTCAAGTTGGTAGTTATTGGTTTATAGTTGTACCACCAAATGCGGCAGAAAAACCCAGAACGATGATGAGCAAAGTGTTCAGACTTAGATTAAGATAGAATAAGACTAATGCAGTGCTAGCTTTCTCAACCTATAACCATCTAACCGGTCTGGCCCACTCAGAAAAATAACATCATTTTCATGTTGCGTCACTGACCAAGTCATATGGCCAGAAATAAAGTCAGTATTATAGGCCTGTCAAATATATCAGGAGTCCATGAAAAGTCAGTATGTGTTACATGCTAAAGGCAGAGAGCAATGACCAACCAAATCCTGTTATTCCCTGTGCACTCCCTCCTCTTTTGGCCAGCCATTCGGGGGACACCATTAGGAATTAGCATACAGTACCTATGGCAACCGGCAACCTTTGTCAGATTCTTTCATAATATTTGTACAGCCGTCTGTCGCTCGCTTTATTTAGCTCGGGCTTGATGGGGCTATGTGATAACTTCTTGCTCTTTCTGTCTCACACAGGTGAAAGCACCAACTGAAAGCGCTTGGAGAGGTTTTAAAAAATGACATATGAGTGACTATTAGACCTTTTACTGTATTTAGCTGCTTTTAGTATCTGTAACAAAGTATAGTAATTCACACTTTCATACTTATGCTTCTTTGTGCTTGCACCGATATGTCAACTATCAGGTTCATCAGAATTTCACTGGAGTACAACAGTTAATTTGTTTGTGTATTTTCTGGTGACAAACTGCTCCGTTAGTTAGGACAGAACACTCTGGTCTAATGAAAATTTAGTTAATGCTATGGAATATGAATAATAGACAAAATGTCTGCTTTATTCAAAACATTTACTTTTTTGTTGAAACCTAATCTAACTTGACTCATATCTGTACTCAAACATGCTTTACTGGTTCCCACTACAGTCTCCATCGTCTCTTGATTTTCCTCCACAAGAACAAGGTAAATTCATATGTAACATATTGTCACAATTGTATATGTGTCTCTACTCGGTCCCTTAAAATAGGAACTTAGATATATTTGTGCAAGTAAGCAAGTGACCCTATAGGTTTTTCTGTCTCGATGCCATAGTGCCTTACCCTTGTGAACTCCTCTGTTCTGCGTGTCTCCTTCTTGTTTATATTAAACATCGTGTGGCTCAGATTAAAGGGTGACAATTTTGCCTGGAGGCTGTTGCTATGGAAACGTGTCTGCTATAGCTATGATAGGCCATTCATGTTTGATTAATTGGTTTTTCAATGCTCCTTGGTTTGTGAGGACCCTTAAAGAGCAAGTCCACGGAAAATGGAAAATTAATGTATTTCTATTTCCTTCTCTTTCCCCTTCTTCCTCTTTTTCTCCCCTGGCTTACTACTTATTTTGCTGAAGCTATTTCCTCATGTTTTAATAAGTGTAGTGATGGTGTTTTGAATTATGATTGGAAGTTGGATGGGGGAGGTTAGGGCTTGGTTATTTGAAATGCAAAAGGAATGTCTTTGTTCATGGCTGCCTTTTGTGAGCAGCTGCTGAGGCAAACACAGAATTTAATGTCGCGTGAATATTATGAGTTTTCAAAGCAGGCCGGAGCCTCATACAACATTACTTTGTTGTGCATTTTTATTCTAGCAATCTACTGGGACCAATTATGATTAGAGAGCCGAGCCTTCATCTCTGAACCTCTACTCGTGTTTATCAAGACCTCATATGCTCGGGCCTTTTCAATTTGATCTTTTTAGCACTTCACTAATGTGTAATGTATTATTTAACTCATAAATGTTTAAACGAGCTAACAAATGCTAGTTCATCACTTTCTGATCTGTAAATTGCCAAACATTCCCATTTATGCCTGCATTAAAAGCTTCCTTTGCTCCGTGCTCATGTTCTGTCCTGATGAATCTTGGGGAAAAGCTTTTGATGTAGTTATTATTGAAGATGCTTTAAGACTGCTAAGAGCAGAACTTTGTGAGAGTCTGATTCTGTAATCACTCTGAAGGGTGTTCTCCATGTGAGGGTCATTCTCCAGCTGCTGCGAAATGCGGTCTTGTTTCCATTTCTATTTGAAAAAAAGTTATTTAACGTGGCAGAAAAATGGGGGGTTGATAGGTCTGTTGATCAATGACATTGACACGCCGATTGCTTTGCAAGGTGCTAAGATTTCTGAAATCTAAAAACATAATTTTCTGAAGCAGGAACTGAAGTCTTGCCACAACCACCAACCAGGCCACTGTGTCTCAAGGACACTGGAGGGCCTGCACTTGTTGCACTTCATAGTGATCGCCTATAGAAGTCAATAAAAATTATGGATATAACTCTAACAGAAAGCCCCCTTGACAAATTATGTAATTTTGAGTTTAGTGATAATGTGCCTGTGTGTTATGAAAAGAAAACAACACTGCTACTTTTTAAAATTAAAATACTGTCATTTTTCAGACCTACAATAAGTTGAGCAGCAGAACACAAAACTGACATATTATCTGGTTTATGGTGAGCTTGTCAGCAAACATTTTCCCCCCACATCTTTCGCATCTAGGTATAGACACCTGAATACAAGCATTACTTTGAAGTTATGTCTCTGGCCATCTGATGAATTTAAGTCCCATATTCAGTCTCATCTTAATTGCCCACTATGTTCACCAGCTAGTCGCTAATTGTGTCTGTCTGCCATTTGGTGCTGAGCAGGTAGTGTGCAGGTGATTTTTAGAGCATTTTTGCCAAAAACGGCTGCCTTGTGACCTTAAAACAACATTCTGAAAGCAGTGGGAATGATCCAAAACAGCTGTAGGCTGAAAAAACAAATATAATGATCTAAAAGCTGAACTGCTCTGTAGAGCTGAGGGGAACTGCAGAGTTGGATGACAAGTCTCTCTGGCTTCATCACTACAAGCGTCGCCTCTTACATATAAGTAATCATGTGATCTATTGTTTATCTCTTTGAATAGAAATATTAATTATAGCTGCTTTAAGTACTCCATAGCTGATTTCACTTCTTCTAGTGTGTACTTTGACAGCAATTTCAAAATAACTTTTATGTCTTCAAGATATCTTTAAAGGGAAATGTTTGGGAAATCATTGAATATCTTGATGTTCTGGCCCCTGTAACTGACAAAGATGGTAGCAGACCATATATGTCACACCTGCTATGTTCATGTTTTTCTAGTCTGGTTAGTTAAGAGAGAATGGCATTAGCCTTTAGGTAGCAAAGTAGATGTCTTCTTTAATGAGTTGTTTTTTAGTGAGATATTTGCTCCCATTATTTAAAACATGCCCCTGTATGAATGTCAGTGCTGAAGTCAGGCACCAAACAAGTAACATAAACTTGGCCACAAAAAGTGCCTTTTACTGTCCCGAGAAAAGATAATTGAGAAAGAAAAGAGAAGCTTTCTAACCACCAGCTTCAGTTTAACAGTGAGACCAGTAGGAGGGTTTCTTTGTCTGTTTAGTTTCTTCCAACAGACGTATTACCCTCATTACAACACATCTCAATTTCTCAAGTTATTTTTTGCCTTTTTTTTCTGTCCAACACGCTTCTAAGTCTTTGCATATTTGGCTAATTGGCAAACCTTTATTACTTTGAGTAGAGGAGAAGAAAGTAAAGCTGGTGTTCTTCTCTCACCCCAGATGCAGGAGATGGCTTTGCACCACCACCAACAGCAACACCATCACCAGCACCCAGACGGCACTCATTATGACCCAACCCGTAACCACCCCCTGATAAACAGCTCACCTCCGATACTGCCCAACCCCATGAGTGCACTGTCCCAGCTAAACCCTCAGGTCAGCCGGAGTGCACTGCCTCATGGTTCCCCCTCACCTCCCGGAAGTAAATCGGCCACACCCTCCCCCTCAAGCTCCAATCAGGAAGAGGAGACTGATCCTCATTCGAAGGTACTGATGTGGCAATGCTTCTCTGGCTTGTAGTGGTGGAGTAGGAGGCGAGGGCTTGGCAGTGCTTCTCAGAGATGGTTCGCATGCTTACTGTTGAGTTTAAACAGGAATTCAGGGGTAGCCATGCTTGTGCTTTTTATTAGGTTGGCTGGCAAATTTTGCTGTTGAGGGGAACTGAAACCATGTTTTTTTTTTGTATGTGTGTATGTAATGGTGGAGTGTGGTGACACATTTGAATAGAAAACTTATTTACAATATTAAGTTGCAAGTGTAAAAACTAACATGATTTTTTGTTATTTCTTAAAATGTCCCCCTGTTTCTTTTTCTATATATACAGCACATTTCCAAAATCTGGTTCACACTTAAAAGCAACACAATCTTGTCTTGGTCCTTTTGTGCAAGATAATTTCACCCTCAGATAAATTTCTTTTCCAATTACACAGTTGCGAATAGCTGACACTCCATTACCACCCTGGCATGTTTGTTGGCAAACTCTTAGACACACGAGGCATAACATGAATATTTTTCCCTGAAGTAATTTGAGAAATATTGTATATTTTCTTTCTAAAGTGAAGGGACCTCTTTTATTTACAGATGTGAGGGATATTTTAATGTGTTTATTATCAACAACACAGATACAAGGTGTCGGCAATCTTATCTAATTTTCTCACTGGAGTCATACGCAGTCTGATTTGAAATCTACCACTCCTTCATTTAAATCACTCAATAAGAAGAGAAGGACACTTGTTTACATGCATTTGGTTTATGTAAATCTGTAAAACTGCTTTCATAAATTGCCCACCAACCAATGTCTTTGTGGATTTGCTTCATTTCTATCAGGGGAATGTGAATGAGTGTATAATTGAATATGCCACATCCACAGTGTTTCAGATTCATCTGTGTATTTAAATACTAGCTTGCATTGATACAATATAACAAGGGGATTCTTTAGTTAAAGAAAATATATTTCCCTCTCTATACATCTCTGCTGTGCTTCTCGCTGTATGTGTGAATAAAAATGATTACCACCTCTCCTATCAGTAAGTAATTCCATTTGCTCTCTCCGATTCATTCGGAGACCACATCAAAGCCAGAGCAGATACAGCAGGCGATTTAAAATTCCTTTCACCCCTAGCACGAAAAGTCAGAATTTATGACTTGCTGAACAACTGAAAAATAAAGATTTGAAAAGGTTTGATAAATTCAACTAACAGATGTTATTTTTGACAAAGTAAGGCAGAAATAAATGCTGTCAGCGAGTGCCTGTGTCAAAGTGTAACTGTCAGAGAAATATTGCTGCAATATTCAAATGCTTGACTTCATGGGTATTGAACAGAGAGCTTCACTTATGGATTTAATGAAGTTTACATGCTTCACCTGAACCCAGTGTTATAAGCATTCATCAGAGATGCAATTATTCCCTCCAGTTGAATTTGCAGACGTTGTTTCTGCAGTGTCAATAAGCTGTTTTGTTTTTTGCGTGTTTTTGATGGTCTTCCAGATCACGGGCGAGAAGCGGCCGTCTTCGGAGATGATGAAGCCCAAGCCCAAACCTCAAAAAAAGAAGAAGAAGAAGGATCCCAATGAGCCTACAAAGCCTGTGTCAGCCTACGCTTTATTCTTCAGAGACACCCAGGCAGCCATTAAAGGACAGAATCCCAATGCCACCTTTGGAGATGTATCCAAGATAGTAGCCTCCATGTGGGATGGTCTGGGAGAGGAGCAGAAACAGGTAGATTGATATTGTGTACATGTACACTCGGAGTATGGAGAATTTACTGTTACAGTAATTGTTCTTTGTACTTAAAGCATTACTATGTAACATTTGAAAAAAGAAATAACACATTTTTCTTCTCACAAATGAAAAGTTTAAAGTTGCTGCTGAAGCCTTACATGATCTGGTATGACCAGTAGCTTATGGCGGCTAGTAAACTTAATAAATAAAATATTGCTATGTCACTATGTCACTGTTACTGCATCAGTTTGCTATTTGTGATACAGTAGCATTTTATGTTAACCTGTAATTGCCACTTACTATTTGGGAAAACTTACTTAGCATTTTCTAGCCATGTGGAGGCAGTGGAAACAAGCTGTAAACACAACACCGGCATTACCATCATCTTACAAGCAGATATAGGGAGCTTGTTAGCAAACAGTTGCCTATTTACACATCCAGCAGATACGGAGAAACATAAGCAGTCATGTTCCTGGCCGCCTGGTAAATGAAAGGCAAATATTGACTCTCCTTTTAGCTCTGTTTTTGGTATTCACCATCTCCTGATGGAAATATCTGGCTCTTAAGCTGCTAAATGCTCCTCTATGTTCAACATCTAGTCGTTAACTTTATCTCTCTAATATGTGGTGCTGGAAAGGAAGACTACAATGGGGTTTTCGGTTGCATCTGCCTGCTGCGTCCAAAAACAATGCTATAAGAGCGTGAGAGTGAACCAAAACAGTAAATAAAGCTCAAGAGAACGATAGTGAGTATTCACATCCCTTATGTGATCCAATTGTTAAAGAGGTGGTATTATGCTTTTAGGCTTTTCCCCTCTCCTTTATTGAGTTATATCTCTTTTTTGTGCATGTAACAGGTTTGCAAAGTGAAAAAGCCCAAAGTCCAGCCCAAAGGGAGTTCCCATCTCCCACAGTAAGCTCTGCTCTGAACCTCTTGTTTGTAGTCCAGCCTTTCACTTCCTTTACTTGTGATGTCACATTGAAAACGCAGCATAAAGCTTGCCAAGCGGCTAGCAGGGTCAGGCACGCCCTCAAACCAAGCTAGTCTGAGTAGAGGCCATTTGGCTCAACTGGCCTTTGTTTGGGTTTCCATTGTTGAAATATTGTACCTGTACCTGCTTCCAGGTACTTTTTTTCGTATCACCTCACCTCCGTCCGTTCCAAGCCAGCTGAGGGATACAAAAATGTAACATGAAAACACGACAGACTGCTGATTGGTCAGAGTATGGTGGCCCGTAGGTTTCAGGCCTAATACAAAAGCCACAACACTGAACGCAAATCCCACAACACGAATACAAACGGAACAACACGATTACAAAAGCCACAACATAATTACAAAAGCCACAACACAAATTCAAAAACCAGAACGGAAATACAAACGCCACAACACAAATACAAAAAGCCACAACACAAATACAGAAGGCCACAACGGAAGTTGACAACGAAAGAGACGCTTAGTAACAGTGGGTTACTCTCCGTAGAATACAGCTATCCAGTAGTACAGCGGCAATGTAACCCATCCAGGAGGTCCGGGGTTCGAATTGTAGAAAGAACAGTCTTTTTCAGGAGACTTTTCCGCATAATAGTGTCTGCCAAATTAGTAAATGTAGGCCTACATGGAAGAAGAAATTCTTACCCGTTTGATAAATAAGTAATACTTCTGTTCTGGTCAAATAATATACAGCGGGATAATCCACTGTTACTAAGCGTCTCTTTCGTTGTCAACTTTCGTTGTGGTTCACTTCCGTTGTGGCCTTTTGTATTTGTGTTGTGGCTTTTTGTATTTCCGTTGTGGCTTTTGTATTCGTGTTGTGGCTTTTGTAATCGTGTTGTGGCGTTTGTATTTCCGTTGTGGTATTTGAATTTGTTTTGTGGCTTTTGTGTTCGTGTTGTGGCTTTTGTAATTGTGTTGTGGCGTTTGTATTTGTGTTGTGACTTTTGTATTCGTGTTGTGGCCTGAAACCTACGGGCCACCGTAGTCAGAGAGAATATTCACTATTCACTGCATCATCATTGCGTGCGCCAGACAGAGGCCAGTAACAGAAAGTTTTATATTTTACAGTTTTCGTATGGAATTTCATCACTAAATCCACTTCTGAGATGTTTTGAGGTGAGAAATCAACTGTGTAGATTTCGAAATATTGACAGTTTTAGTGATGGCGGAACAAAAATGTGCTTGAATATTATCGGAGTTCAGGAGCTCCGCAAGTGGCGGCGGGGGAAGCCTGTACCAACCCGCCGTCACACAGACCGCTACAGCAACAACGGCAGAGGAAAACACAGCTGGAAGGTTTTCATACCGCTTATCTGTCTTTACATTCTGAGTAATGTTGAAACGATGAGAATATGAAAATGAGAAAGCTGTGTGGATCGCTGGTGTGTGTGTCGCATTGAACATTACATCGCGGCAGTTGTGTGTGGCGTCGCTATGACGACAAGCTACATACTATCTCTGGGTACTGTCTGCAATGGAAAACGGAGCAGCTATGGTAGCATTTTTCGGCAAGGCAGCATAGATCGTCAGAACACCGGCAACAGTTCAACGTTTATTCCTAAAAGACTCCGACTCTGTTTGGGCCTGGAAATAATAATCATAATCACAACCTGTAAGTATGCTTTATTGGTTGTGAATTATATTTAAAATAAACACGACAATGTAACTTCACAGACTGTTCAAGTGCGGAGTTGTTGTAAACGTTGGCTAACACAGCTAAAGTTATAGCTATAATGCTAATGTTACACCCGATGTGAAAGCTACTGAGCAAACGTTCAAATTGTTTGGCCAATTTTTATGTAAAATTGAGTTGAAATATGGTGATTTTTGTAGTGGTTTATTGTAAGATGTGGAACAATGATGTTGTGGACTTGTGAGTAACTTATACCATCTGCTAGGTTACGGTCACAGTCTGAAGCGGCTTTGATTTGGATCACACTACCTTGCTTCTTACGACCCGCCCTTCTCTGCTTCTGATTGTCTAGTAGTCGTTACCTGGGAACTGCACATGTGCAACTCCCAACAAAGATTTTGTACAAGTCAGATGCATCACTCTGTAGCTCAAGAGCGGAGCGTACAACACACAGGGTGAAAAGAGGAGCTGCAGCAATGTGCAGTATGAGAAAAATATGGTGTTTTTTGAAAATTAAACCATGTAAACCCGTTCTGGTACAACGCCTAAATAAGATTTTGAACCTGAAAATGAGCACAATACCACCTCTTTAATATAGAAATATTGATTATAGCTGTTTTTAGGTGCTGATTACAGTGGGTTACCACCTTTCAACCTTAGTTATGACACTCCATGGCTCTGGGTAGACCAATAGTTGACTAGCCACCACTCAAATGATGTGTTGCACATTTAAATGTTAGTAATTAGCATGAAATCACTGTAAAACCACTCTAACAACCCAGTTTAAGTGATTAGATTGTGGTCATGCAAAGATCAGGTTCACCATACTTACTCTGTAAACTCTGCAGAGCATTCACAGTTTCCTCAATGTATCTGCTGTAACACACTGTGGGCAAACTGAGACTTTGTATCTATGTATCTGTCTCATGCAGCTGCAAAGATTTAACAAGAAAGCGTGCAGATCTGGTATTGCTTGTCACAATATTATGTCCTTATAACTAGTTAGCAAGTCTACCTGGCAAGGGCCAATTAGAAAATGTTAACTGGAAGTGCAGTCAAGTTAGGTTGTTTATACAAGCATAGGAGCATACTTCAGGCTGTATTGTATATCACACGATCTACAGTGATTACTGAATATATCACAGAGGTCTACTCACAAAACCTGGATAAGGATCAATTTCAGAAGTGTATTACCAACATCAGTTGTTTCTTGTATGCTGAAACTGCATAAATGTGTATTTAAAAAGTGGAATAATGGTGCAGCACCAGAACATTTTTGTTTTAAAATGAGATCATCATCTCGCACTCTCTATAATGTCAACTTGCATGGCAGTGAACATGCAGCTAATGCCTTGAAACCTTTTTTTTTCTTTTTAATGATCTGTGAATTAGACATGCACCAGTACAAACTCAACTGGTAGGATATCTATTATTATCCTGTCCCCGTGCGGTGGAAATTGTATATTGAAAGAAATGAAAAGTTTGCTACAATCAGCCGTGTAGATATATTTCCTTGAATATTTTCAGGAGTCAATTTTATTTTATTACAGTTTGACCTGTGCATATGGAACTGCATTAACATTTACTGCAGTTTTGAGCATTTCCGTCCAGCACATTTTCTATTTCATTTTAGCATTCCAGGCCAACAGACAAAGTCAAAGGGGTTTCGATGTGTTTGCAGTAACAAATGATGGTGTGAAATGAATAGAAAACGAGACAGTCTGATGATCATGCACAGACTCATATTTTTAGAATATCCAGTCAGGGCGCAGCCTATTGGGTGTCAAATAAAAGCACCTGTCTCCATGACAAAGTGCAGCCCATTCTCCTCAGCCCCAGCCACTGTCGACTAGACCCTATCTAGCATGTGTGTGTTTTCCTCCAACCAAACCCACTTTATACGCTGGACTTTGGAGGCCGTCTGTCCCTTTTATTTGCAGTTAATTTTTGCCGCCTTCACCGGGGCTCTTCACCATGAATCTTCATTTCACCGCTGACACCCTTGAATGTGAATTCCTCATTTCCTGTCCTTTTATTTATATCTGTTGCCTGGTGATTTGATCATGCTGGGAATACAAGATTAGCAATTGCCTTGTCCTTGGTTTTGCCTCAAGGACATCTGCTCCTGAAATGTTATTGTTTGTGCTTCTTAACCCTTTGTGTCTGGGCTTCTTTTCCACCTTAGATTTTGCCCGGTGGATGCAATGTTCTCTCTCTCACTCTGTGTGTGTCTCTCTCTTCTCCCAAATGCATTTGTCCTTCAAATGAAACTAACAAAAGGGCAATTCCGCCATTAAAAATCCACCCATTTATTGTGCCGTTCCACAGCTAATTTTTTGATTTGTTTGTGCATTCATGTGTTTAATCAAACCTGTCACCTCGCAAGACACATAATTAACTTGAGGTAATGATGTCATTATGGAATGAAATGTAGTACCCTGTCTGGGCAATAACACTGTGATTGCTCTAATTATTCTCTGTGATAGCACTGTCACTTATTCCAGCACAACAAATGGATAAACTTGTTAACCGTGTATTTACACAGTGTATCCAATTCAACTACTGCACGTTAATACTCTAAAGAAATGAAAATGTCTGACTTTGGTTAAATATAACAACATATTGTAGCATATTGTATCTACAACAACAATCCATGGACCAGTAATGTTCAAGTGAAATACGTTTAGAATGTAAACTGTCCAAGCCAGGCTCGTATACCTTGAACATTTTCAATATACGGCTTCAATTTCTATCTCTCTCTGCTCTTGATCTGTTGATGTATATGCTGTTGTGCCTTTTCTTTTTTTTCCCAACATTGGCTGTCACGTCATCTCTATAGGGCCGATGAGGTGTGTTCTATAATGTCACAGTCAGACCCTCTGGAGCCTTGCAAGAGCACCAGAATGTAAACACAACCCTTCCCCTACACACAGCCTTGTTTTAACTAGAACGTGGCCCCTGTTTCCAATTACCCTTAGTACTTCTCAAACACACCATGCAGCAGAATTCACACAAATGCATTGAAGGCAGCATGTTTTTATTGCTGTATTTAACTGAAGAAACGATCAGAAGTTTCATTGTTGTGATTTGTGTTCTTTTTTTGAGCTTCAGTGTGCATTTCCCCCACTTTGCTCATGTCGTTGTGTATTCTCCAGTGCCGCCCTTGAGTTTGGTAGAACAAAGTGTTTTATTTTATTCAAGTTTATGTTCATATTTTCTTTTATATTAAGATGTTTTCAAATGCCTGTACGCCATACAGCGTTTTTTTAATTCCCAAAGGCCTTTGTTTTATAGTGCAAGATCAATGCGTAATGTGGGCTGCGTTATTCCTCAAGGTGACTACATGTTAAAGCTGGCCCAGAAACACAAAAGAACATTTTTCTTGTTTTTGTTATTTAAGATTAAGATCAATTTTCCGTTTTTACAGCAGTGGGGAGGAACAGTGATAACGGTGTTGGGTAGGAGGGAGGAGAGACTTTAGCTTTATTTAATTGAGACTGCTGTGTTGGAGTTGTCGGTTAAAGGTCGGAGATAGAAGGAAAAGAACACTGTCACTTTGTTTAAATGGCATGCTTTGATATTAAACTCCTTGTATAGGTAAAATATTAAGCATCTGTCCAAAAACATCTAGTTTTTTGCCTTTATGTCTACCTTTCACATACATTTATTTGTTGGGGGTTTTCATGTGTAACTAGTCGTCCTCTCTTCGACTGCTTTTCACCTGTCATCTCTCCACCTTTTCTACTTCCCGTTTGTTTCCTCCTCCTCCTTCTCTTCTTTCGGTCGTCAGGGTAATCACTCCCTTTAGTGTCAGCAGGGTGCAGAGTTATTGTCTCCTGTAATTAACTGGTTATCAAACAAGAACATTTCATTAAGGTACAATTAGGGGCTAATTCAGGCGGGACACCTCTGTGTCAGGATTACGATGGAGGCATATGCTCTCCCCTTGCAGCTTTGTTATTTTTAATTCATACTGACCTGCAGCCTCTGACGGCTTCAATTGCTAATGAATCCACTCACTTTGGAATAATTAGACATCCTTAGGCATGGTAATTTATTTAAAAGTATCCGTCATTGCGCGAATCATTAGCTGTGTTAAATTAATTTGAAATTAAAGCTGCTGGGAGTAGTTTGGGGTTCATTAAAGAGGCAGCCATGGCTCTATCAATATTTAAGGAGTCAGGGGTAAGGTTGTCACTTTTTTGTTTTTTAACAAGAACTGTAATTCTTAAATGGGATTATCTGTTTTTATTATGGAAATCTGTTGTTTTTGTCGTGTATTTTGGAGTTCCTAGTTCAACAGAGTCTAATATCTGAATGTGTATCATGGAAGGAAAATAATAATAATATTGTAAATAGGGATGAGTAAGAGGATAAACATCAGCTGTTTGAGCAAGAGATTGTATCCGTCTTCATCCAGGTTTGTTTGCTGTTCTGTTTGTATATTGACTGTATGTGTTAGCAGCTGCCAGCCTATGTGCATTCGACAACGCATGAATGCTTAATGGTTATTCTACCCCACCTCTTTGAAAGAAATGACCCTGTCCATGGTGCCACAGACAGTCTCTCGCTGAGGATCAGTAATTACCCATTGCATTAACACACACACACATACAAACACACACTTTCCTTCATATTAAAATGCTCCAGAGAGAAAAGCTGAGATCTGAGTCTTCCTCATCGATTTAAGGGTGGACTTTTTGCGACTTGTTTTCCCCCCGCATCAAAAAGGCAGTGGCAGCTATAAAAAGCCCTTGAGTGACATGTGATGACATTAACTCAAATTCCCTGTCTTAACGCATCATTTGAGGTTAATTCAGAATGCTTGAGATTGCCTCTTTGCTAATGCTGTTTTGAATTCTTTTTTTTTTTCTTCTACGTCTGAATGATTTGCTGGGACATCAGCTCTGATTAAGAGATGAGCAACAGCCTTAATAGAGGAAGAGCAGGCTTAAAAGCAGTACACAAAATGACAAACAGCTTTTCACTCCTCATTTAGCTCCATAATATTTCCACAAGCTTTCTTGACATTTAATTTTGGACATTTTGAAGAAATTAATGATTCAAATGCAGCAACATCATGCAGATGGTCAAATCCCCTTGACTTGATAACGGTGTAATGAATGCATTTGATAGGTTTTTCATCGCAGAGCACACTGCCAGGGTCACACAATCACACCATGACTCCCAAAATCTCATCCACATCAGTCAGTGTTGACCACAGGGTCATTTTAGCCTTTGGCATCACCTTGTAATCAATCGTTGTTGTTGTTGTGTTTGCTCCTACAGAGCTACAAGAGGAAAACAGAGGCTGCTAAGAAGGAGTACCTGAAAGCCCTGGCCGCCTACAGAGCCAGTCTGGTTTCCAAGGTAACCACGGGGGTCACGTCTTTGATATACATGGGTCAGCAGCGATATAAGGGATGATAAATTAGACAGAATTCCTCTCGCTCTTATTCCAAGGAAAGGGTCCACTAGCTACACAGAGGTGTTAAGATGTTTGTGCATATGTGTGTGTGTGTGTGTGTGTGTGTGTGTGTGTGTGTGTGTGTGTGTGTGTGTGTGTGTGTGTGTGTGTGCGCAAAAGAGAACAGTGAAAATTAGGCCTCAAACACACCCGATTTGCAACCTGGGGAGAAATGAAAAGTAATAGTACAAATCTGTGTGTGTGTGTGTGTGTTTGTGCTTATCAGTGTGCACATGTAAGAGTAGAAGTGGACATTACCTATCATTTGCAGTCCTCCTGGTGTCTCTGAGCTCCCTGATGGGCCACTAATGTGTTGGCTGAGGTTTGCTCACACCTACTGCTCTCTCTTTGCTGCAGGTTACTCCAGTTGAGCCCAGAACATTAATACCCTTTTTTAATCGCCTTTGTATAAAAACCACACCCACATTGTAAAATTTCCATGTTTTTAAAAGCTGATATAATATGTCCCCCCCACCACCACCACCATCCCCACAACTCTTTTTACATCTGCTTATATGATAGTTATAACAGTACAGGGGTGTTTCAATCTGGTGGTGCGCTGCATTTCATTTCAGTCTTTCTGCATTGTTTTCGAAACACAACTCTAAATTGCATTAGCATATACCAAGCTCCTCCTCTTCCCCCTCCCTCTCCCCATCCTCTTTCCTCCCCTCCGCACAGCGCCACACTTCCTCTCATGCTCATGGGCCGAAAACAAGCACCTTGATTAAGGCATGAATAGTTAATTCATCAGCCTCTTCACTGTGGCATACTTTCAACTAAAAAGACTATTCTCATTTCTTGTCTTTTGGTGCAATTAGACATTCATGTCAGAGCTCCTATACAGAGGCTTGATTGATACTATATGTTGGTAGATTGCCAGTCAAACAACTGACTGACAAAAATAAACCTGCAACCCCTCCCATCACTACCACCACCACACTCATTCAGGACCAGCCAATCTGAATGCGCGCCTGAATCTCATGATTCACCATAACTGTCTTTTTTAATTACCAATGAAGGAGTCTTTTCAAAGTAAATTGGGGTGGGTGGAATTGGAGGTAATTGGAGTATCATTTGAAGGATTTACATCTTCAGCGTGCACCTGTTGCCTTTTTGTTTTGTGACGCATGCCAGTTTGTTTGGGAGAGGTGGAAAAAAATAAAGTTTGATTGCTTCCCACTGTGTGTCATGGCACTTCTCTTGTGTTCGTCTGAATCCAAAAACTCCAATTGCAGTGTGTGATTTTAAAAAGTCTACATTAAAAAAGTCACGCTGTGTTGTAAATTTCACAGATTTCATGATTTTATAAATGTTTCAATCCTCGTAAACTCTCATTTAATACATATGCTGTTCATATATTTCCTCTGATAAATATGAAGTCATTTTACTGCAATATCCTGCAATTTCCTGTTAAAATAAAGTTAGTTGCAACAAATCACACCCATCCTCTCGCTCTTTCCCGCTCCCATCACACCATTTCTTCAGTATTTCATTTTCCACTTGACCCTGTGTCTGTCCCTCTCTTTTATCCATCCCTCCATCCCGTTCCATTGATTATTTCAGGGTTCAGAGGGATGGATGTGAGCCATTACTAAATAGCAGACCACCACACATCACTTTTGCCAGTCTGACAGTTAATGAGAAACACTGGATGTATTTCATACATACACCATCTCAAGAAAGAAAGGTAGAAAGAAAAACCTGCAGAATAAAGTGTGTGTGTGTGTTTGTCATGTTTCACAGCATCTACAGGGGAAAAAATAAGTAAAGAGAAGAGGAACACAGCTGGGACCATGGGTAGCATTAGCCACAACAGATTATACTGTAAATACTTTAGGTAATGAATAGTATAGAATTAGTGCACACTGTCGCTTGCTGGTGATCCATCGAGTCCAATGATGAAATCCCTCCTCGTTACCGGTGTGTTGTTTGATGACTATAGAGTCCAATTCTTGATCCACAGGTTTTATTGTACGTTGGGCATATAAAGTCTGTGTTAGTGGGTGCAGGCATAGCAGTGTGTCTCCTTTGTCTTTTCTGTTGTTTTCTCACATTACGCTCCATTTCCAGCTGTCACTATACCACCGTTTACAACCACATTTTCACATCAAATAAAAGTTTCTTGTCACTTTTCAATTTATTTCACAAAGTTATTTAAATAATTGACTTTGAAATTGAATTTGCCGACACCAGCTGCTCCTTTTCTTTTGCTTCATTGACATTGTTTTAAAATAACATCCCACGAGAGGGCTGTCTCGGGGGAATGAGGACGCGCAAAGACTTATGGGACAGTTTCATAATTTAGTGACCATCAGCTCCATCAGCTGTATATATCAAATATATTTGCATACTAAACACGCACATACTATAACTTTTTTATTAAGTATTATTTACTATTTATTATAAGCTATTTGGAAACAAGGTCATAACACTGGCCGTGCTTTTTGATTCATTTCAGTAAGAACTCTAATTGCAATATGTTAAATATTCAAGTCCTAACCATTACATAAACCCTTCAGCAAGGTGCACACTGGTAATATTTCACTGAATACTTGATTTATCCTTAAAGGATAATTCCAGTTTATTACCACTTTAGTCTTATTTTTGTAGCTTTGGCTTTCATTTCTAGCGCTTGATAACATTGTACTCATCAAGAAAATGGCTGAGAACCTAGAACATGGTAACATTAATAAAGTCAGACAGGTTGTAAACAAGCCACCAATCTAGCCAGAATATCTGAACCACTTTATTCCGAGGTAAAACCAAAATCCCTCATTGCACAATGAAAACTGTTTGTGTACAAAACTGCAAATGTATGTTGTGATATACTGAAATTATTCTTTAACGCTGATGGCATGTTTTCCCTTCTCCTGCCTCCCCTCTAGACATACAATGATCCTGTGGAGACAAAAAGTGTCCAAACAAGCCAGGCTTCTCCACATATGATGCCAGCCAACCCGCCCCTCTACAGTGTGCCACCTCCACCCCAGCCGTCGTCGCCCTACCTGGGGCCCGGGGCCTTCCCGCTCACCGACCTGCAGAGCTACGCAGGTCACGCCCCTCGCCACACCCTGTCGCAGACGCTCAGCCAATCACAGATGCTGCCCAGCATTAGTGCCTCTCCCCCATCCTCCTTCCAGATCAGCCCACCCCTTCACCCCCACCAGCAGCTCTCCCTGCACCAGAGCTCGCTCCTCAACCAGCCTATCCGCATGCAGCAGGTCCAGTCCCAGCCAATCATCTCTCACCAGATGGGGCTGCAGGCCTCTCTTCACTCCCCACCTCCTGGGCAGCAGGTATGGAAATAAACTGAGACACATTCACTGCTGTGGACTAGTTTATACTTTAAGATGTTGGCTTAATTTTCTTTCTTTCTCCAGGGTTTTTCCCACCTCCAGTCAGAGTATCAGAAGAGCATTGGTGGTTCCCAGTCTCCAGGGGCCCCTGGCCCTGGTCCAGGCCCTGGAGTGGCTCAGAGCCATGACTGGGACAGTGAATACTGCAATCGGGAGTGTGGCAACCACTGCAGGTCAGTGGAGACAGTATCATTTGTTTCCCATAATCCAGTAGGGATGGAAATCTCGATTCGATTATGATTCATAGGGCTGCGACGCGATTATAAAACGATTGTCAATGCATCTATACAGGATCTCTGGATAATTACTAAGGATTTAATTTGCGCATTAAGAAACATCTCATAATTAGCTTAAAAGGACTACTTTGCATCCCTGATTTACTTCCATTAACCTCAGCTCCATGTCACTAACTTCATTTCTTTAATTGTCAGAGTCCTCTGAAAACTGAAATATAATTATCAGGATGTACAGTATCTATACACCAGTTTAGTCTAAGCTTGTACCAGATGTAAGTTAGTAATGACGTACAGCTGAGCTAATTAAAATTAACGTTACTTCGTTACTAATTTATCTAACGTTACATAACAGCCAAAAAATGTGCTGTACAGGGGAGATTTTAGCTAACACCAACTGCCTTCATGTTTCCAGCAGTTGGAGAAACTGCAGACTTTTATAAACGGACACACAGTGACCTACACTGCACATGAAATTTACTGCTAATATTTTTCTCCACTAACTTTCATCTTCATGTTCTGCCACTCGCTCTCTCTCATTCGCACGGCCTCACACACAGGATACACAGAGAGCTGCCAAGCGTTGAGTGTCACCATGTTTGCACAGTGTGCGAGTTAAAATCATTACTTGCGCATTGATAATAATGATTGCGTGATATGTAAGTTGAGTGGTTATTCATGGCACAGCGTTGGTGTGCCGAATATAGGGGGCACACTGGTTACATGCATGCCACAGAGCGCTGCACTTACACGAGTTCCTCCTTTTGTGTTCCTTCAACATTAGGTTATCAATTAACATATAAATAATCGAGTCCAGCGTTTCCACTGCAACCCTTATTGCTGCAACACATCAAATCATATAGTCTTGAATGACATTTGAAGGGGAGACAAATGAAGTGAGTTAAACCAAATGGACGTTTCAAAAACATGCCAAGACTATGGGACTCCATTGATACCTTGTTAATTTAAGGTTTTCAGGTTGAACTTGTCAGATAGATCCAGTCCTATCTAAGTCCTAGACCAGAACTCCCTTAGATATAAGCATATAGAGTCATGTCAGACGTCTCTCCCACATCTTTCACAATATAAGTGTTGAAAATTGTCAGCTCCGTTCCAGTGAGACAAGGGAGACAGCTGGAGAGGTAATGGTGAGATAATAGAGCTTGTCATGTGTTTGTCAGACAGCAGTAAAAAACAGATGTTCCCAACAGAAGTTTTCACTGTTACAGTTTGGCAGGCTGTGCAGTCCTGCAGCACTGTAAGATCTTTTTAAATCTACAGTGCTCGTCGAGCTAAAGCACTATGAAATGTTTTGTTTATTTATGGGGTTTGGTTAGAGCAAGGTAGAAGCTAAGAGAATGGGTGTTTCGGCTTAAATTGCGGCCGTCAGGGAATGAAAAGCATTTACAATCAGAGAAAAATATGTCTGTTCTTCCTTCCTTTTCTTTACCGCTGTATCTTTGTGCGTAATCTAACCTGCGTCTCTGTTTTTGCTTTTTCTCTCTCCAGTGGCAGCATGATTGGCAGGGACAAGCCACTCTACCTCACCTGAAATTGAAGATCTTGCCCTGTCGACAAATACGACACCGAAGAGTCTACTCTCACCCACGACCCCACCCCACCCCGTCCCCCACCACCCCTAACCCCTCAACCCTCTTCTGATGCACACACTTACACACACTCACACTTACATATAATTACATACAAACACACACACGCAAACAAACATCCTCCCAAACACCACCACCTTTTGTTGTCAATGTAATTATTATTTCTCTTTTTCTAGAAGAATTTGTGACCAGAGTTTTTTGACTAGATGACTGCTGTCTGTACCACTTAATGTATTAGCAGTCCTCTTGCTGTTTAAAATTTGCCAAGCACTTATAAAGCCCATCCCCTCCCTCCCTCCTGCTCCCTCCCTCCTGCTCCCTCCCTCCTGCTCCCACCCTCCTCTCTGAGTTGTGTGTCTGCGCTCTCTCCGATGCAGGCCGGGCTGTAGAGCACTCCTCTTCTGTGTCACCATCAAAGTCCCCTCAGGGACCCCATCCAGCTTTAATTAGAATGAGAAGAAAAAATTACTCTTCCTCTTCTTTAATCATTTTAATTTCCTTTTGTGTTTTTCCTTTTTTGTTGTTGTTGTTGCTGTTTTATTTATTTCTGGCTTGCAAAATTGTTCCTCTTTTTTTGCCAATAAGCGTTGGGCCCTGTACTGTAGAAAAATATAAACTTCTAGTAGGTTCATCGCAGGCTTAGATGTTATGGTAGCTTTGCTTAAGGGCCTGCAAATTAATACAAAAAGCTTGGGTTGGGAAGAGAAACAAAACAAAAAGAATCTTTTTTTAATATTAAAGACCTGTTGAGGTCTACTGAGCTGTCACAGTGTGATTGTAAATATCACTTTTATGGGATCAAATTGGGAATTGGAAGTCGAGATAGATTTGTTTCTTCTTTAATATTACATGTAAGTCATTTTATGTGCGTGTGTGTGTGTGTGTGTGTGTGTATGTCTGGACGTTAGAATGTACCCCATTCATGACGTGTGCAGTTGAGTGTGTATGTGCACGGACACACACTTGCGCGCAAGAGTGTTTCAGTGTTCGAGTGTTGAGTCTTTCTCGTGAATTTTAACAGCCTTGTGCAGCTGGATTTCAGAGGAGTATTTCACACTCTCGTTCTTGCATTAAATCTGTGCTCACTGGTGTGTTTTTTTCCAATAAAGTTCAATCTAAAACTGAATACACAATATGTGTCCTGCAGATCATTAAATGGAAAGAGCCAGGTGAGAGATAAAGAGGAAAGAGATAGAAGGAGAGAAAGAAACGCCGTGAGATAAAATGAGATATAATGTTGCAGGTGGGAAAAAAAAGATATTGCCTCAAAACGCCCCACCCCCTTTTTCTTATTTTGTCTGACCATAATGTCAATTTTCTCTCCTCGACATGCAGAAGTGAAGTAATGAAATATGTGAATGGAGCCATCACATCCACATTACAGTGATTTTTATAAGTTTCTAGTTGGTGTTTGGTTGTGTTGATCTCATCTTTTTAACTTTTTGTGTGATTAACAGAAATGCATTTTGCTGACAAAGACATCTGTATTTATCTCTTTACTGTAGCATAATTTCAGTTTTAGTTGTTACAGAACTATAACATTTTAAGTTGTGTAAAAAAAACCTGCCAATTGTAGTTATTTTATTTGTAAAGCCAGTAATGATAAAAATTTTAAATGGTTATCAACATATTGTTTCCGCTAGTTGCCCATCAGCTATTTGACAGGTTTTCTTATTTATGAGAGAAATTAGATCACTTTTGCTTCTTACAATGGAGGTGTATTTTTATTCTTATTTTATTGTTCTTTTTCCCTCTGGTTTGATAAAACTGATGATGAACACAACAATGATTTTTTTTCTTTATTTTTTACATTTTAGGTGCTGCTCCTTTTTTTTTTCTTGCCAGCAGCATCTGTTTGTGTCACAATGCTTCTTTTATTTTAAACCTGCATAATAAAAAAAAAAGTTTAAAAGTGATAATGTCTGATGCCTTGTTAATTTCCCTTTTTGTCCCCTTCACCAATTGTTTTAAAGACATGATAATCGTTGTTTTAATAACTACCAACACCCCCAACTGACTGTACCTTACAGTTTATTTGCACTTAGGAGGGTCACATTTGTATTCTATATTTATATTTAGCTCAGGGCTCCAATGGCATTAGCTAATTAGCCGCGGGCACAGTGTACACGAGCCAGCGTGGATTCTGCCAGTAAACTATCTTAACAAACAAGAGAGCAGATGCGAGAAGACGTTTGCTTTGCTTGTGAAAGTGGTGCATCGTAGGCGTCTAGTGTGAGATAAAGAGAACAGAGAAATGCAATGTGCACACAAACTCAGGCAACCGTCCAAGTACTGATTTTACCCCAATTGCACACAAGTCTTCTTAGAGACTTTCTGAGAGCGAGAAGGAGAGACTGAAATGGAACTGTCACGAGCCCTCCATTCAATGTTTTATTCATTTTACGTCTGCCTGCCTTCTCTTCCTCAATAGTATTGAATTGGCAAATAGATCATTATTGGACAATTGGAAAACCTGCCACTTTGTGATATGACACACATTACATGAAAATCACAGTCATACATTCTTAATGCAATGCCAGATAAAAGAGGGTTTGGGTGCAGCCACACAGCCCTGTCTCTGTGCCTTTTGCGTACATACTGCTTATGTGTTTTGTTTGTTTTCTTCCTTTTTTGGGGGGGGTTAGGTGTTGCCTCTCCTATCTAGCTGTAGGTATAATTGTGCATAAATGGTAATAATATTCCATTTCTTCTTTCTTATGTTGGACATTTCCCTTTACTACATATTATATTCTCTCTGCCATCCACAGATGTTCAGGCAGTCACTGTCTGTAGTAATACTGCAGTAAATACTACGAGAAGACAGTATCAATTTGACACTTCTGTCAACACCCATCCCTCGTCTCAGAGTCAAAGTCATGAGGCCAACAGAGAATGAAAAGCTACAATTTATGGTGGAGGGTGCCGGTGAGAAGAGGAGAATGCAGGGGTCTTGCTGGTTACCATAGATTTGAAAAGACCATTGCAGCAATAAAATGGATGGCAACAGTAATAGTACACTGGCTGACAAAGACGAGGACAGTGTAGAATGCATCTAGAAGAGGGCAAACCAAAATTTTTGTAAAACCTCCAGAAACTCTCTGAAACAGAACTGAAAAGTGTAATAATTTAAATGATTTTTTGTATGTGATGCTGATATATTTTATATTTCTTTGTATTTTTTTTTTATACATTCATTCGGGTTCATTTATTAGCCCAGTCGGTATAATTTATTAAAACTTGCCTGTATCAATTCAAAATGGAACTTAAATGATATTTAGCCTCAGCCCTATTTTGTGTTTCATTTTGGACCCATGTGTTTGGTATGGCCTTCAGGCTACACATAACAACTGAAATCACAGATTTTCTTCTGTACATTAAGATTTTTCAAGTTATTGAAGTGTAATTAATGATGAAACAATTGCCAATCTCAAACTCAACGCAAGTTCTGCTAAATGTTTTTCAGTTTTGGAAACTGTACACCATTTGTGATAATTTATTATTGTAGATATATGTATGCAACCGATTATTAAAACTAAACTACAACCATGCACATACAACAGGCTGAGCATGCTTGTAGATGATGAATATGAGGTCAACCTCAGGGTGTGCATGTTCGTTTGTGGAGTCGCTCAGCCAACAGTGGAAAATTTCCATCACAACAACAGGCTTGTAAGATCCACTCTGCCCTTTATTCTCTTTAAAAATTTATTTTTATTTGGTATTTTGGTTGTTGTGGTGGAGCAATGCACCATCCCGGTTTTCGTTTAAAAATATTTAATCTGACCACATGAGACAACTAGCTAGATGGAGCTTCTCTGTCCTTTGAGTTTAAACTGATGCGGATGAGAAGGTCAGCGTTATGGGTGAACTAAAGGCTCGCACATGCAGGGAGGACCAAACACACCAAGCCTTTCACAGACCAGCTCCTGTAGCATACAGGCAAAAGGTTTCAGTTGCAACTTTGGTGCTGCGGTGGAGCAACAAACAGCAGGAAATGTGGGTGGTTTTAACAAGAAATGGGTTTCGCTTTGTGTTCAGAATCAGTTAAGGTTTCCTTTTTATGCTGACTATACTGCGCAAAATGAATTAGTACATCCACAAAGTACAATATTGCCTATAGTTCTTAGTCCTATGCCTTTATAGTCAACTTAATATTTTAACTGTATAAATGTATTCTGCAATACTTACTTAAGCATATTTAGCAATTTAGCAGTAATTAATCATCTCATCACAAGCATGTTTTGTGTAGACGATACCTTGGTGACAAATTATAACACAAGGGACATAACACGTGAGGCACAAAGCACCCTTGTGGTTTCACACCTGTAGATATTTACATAATCCAGCATATTTGTTATGTCAACTTTCTTTAACCCATAGGTGTGGCCTGCGGTGGCCAAATTAAGTTGGTTTCCTGTTTTTATAATATTACAACTAATTCAATGTTTAAAGCATTGTCTTTTAAAGAGCAAGGCATGTATTTTTTTTATTTTTTTCTACATATGAAATCCCCCCTCAGAGTTATTGTGAAACATCAGGTGATGAAGAATGTTTCTCTATGACTGGGTTAAACCACATTTGAACATCTCAGTATCAATATGGCTACATTGCTTCATACACTGCAGGATCATTATAAAATGGTATTATCCTTGAGATCTTCTGTCTTTTCCAGCCCACAACGTTACTGTTTTGAATCCGTCTCGTCTTCCTCATAGCATTGCCCTCATGAGGTAGCTGTTTTCAGTGAATCTGTGCTAATTCTCCAACACCAAACAGCAGACAAACAAACTTAGCGACTAGCTGGTGAACGTACTTTAGCATTTAGCAGCTGAAGAGGCAGATATTTCCCTCAGGAGTTGGTTGAGACCAGAGCAGAACAGAACTAAAAAAAGAGGGAATATTGGACTTAGTCATAAAATGTTATATAGTTTGCAGAAACATTAAAACTATTCCGTCACCATTCCGTCTAATCCCACAAAAATGTGTTGCCTTGTAAATCTTTGTGCCACAGACATGACATATTATTGAAGGCGGTCTTTGTTGGATGGGACAGCAGATACTGTATTAAATACCATAGCTTTGCATGCTTTCAAGAACATAAAATAAAACAAATATTACATAAAAAGCAAACTACATATTTTCTTTTTTGAGAGCTCAGATAATTTGATTAATGGAATAAATTATGACACAGTACTCTACTTTTTTATTATTATTTTATTGTGTTAAATGAATATCTGGTATTTCAGAAGTTGTATACGTCCAGCAGATCCGTTTGCCTTACTAAGAACAGAAAATAACGTGAACAAGCTGATATGTTGTACAACCAACCAAAACATCAAATATGATGTTTACGTGGAAATTGTGGTTGAGAGAGAGCATTAAGCAAATGGTGGCCGGAAGAGAGACTTGTTTGATAAGAAGTAAAGTCTCTTTCTCTTATTTGGCTGTGGGAAGTACAGGGCAGGAGCCCACATCCCTGAAGAGAAACCACTGTGCTCACTGACTAAGAGGTAAAATAATAGTGCCTCACATTTCTCCATCTCAGCAGTTCTTAAGTCTTGACTTGAAGTGGAGATGAGTCAGATTGAGAACCACACACATAACTATTTTCTCATCACCCCTGCAGTCATCTGTGAAAGTCAGGTCTCTTTATGCCCTGGATCACCTCACACTGGAGCAACAAAAATGGGACCAGCCATATGCAGTCATTTCAGAGGTTTGTTAAGCAGCGCAGCTGCTCTATTTGAGCAATATCGCCCACACATGCTGCACCTTAGATCCTCCAATAATTGCTTGTTGGACAGAGTGTTAGAGAGAAATGGTTGTGTTAGTGTAGCAAGGTTTTGGTCCAGATGTTTGGGATTAAAGGCTTGTTATGAAAATACAATATAGTTACTCAGCAAGTAAGGTATTCAGCACTGTCATGCACATGGCATGTAACACTATTTAAATAAACTTGAAGATGAGATTGGAAAAGGATTCAATTGAATACAGTGCAACATGTTGGCATGTTGTATAATAGACAGTTATAGCATTTGGTTGGTGAAAAAGATCCATGTTCTTAAAATCGGCACCATAGCAACCAAGCTGTGGACGATGCTTTGCCAATATACACTAAATGTAACTTCACAATACATTTTTACTCACTTATTGCTTACTTTATCATTGCTATGATACCGTCTGAAACAGTATTGCTCAATTCACTTATTCAATAATCAAACACAAACTGTGTAGGAAACATTTAGGAAAATAAATACATTAAAAAAATCTTCTTGCCTGTTTACACAATGATTAAATCATGAGCGGTTTCTCTTCACCAATTCACTGATAGACTACAGACTATTATGACTTCTGGGGGCAAAAAAGAAGCTTTTACAGCTCTCTTTTGTGCAGAGAAAAGATTTCTCCCATGCTGTGTGCCGTGTGGTCAGATAAATGATACATATTGGTCCTTTGGTAGAGCCCATGCTTCTTTTGACAACATACCAAAAAAGAACAATCAAACATGGTTCAGACATGCCAAGTCCAAAAATTAAACACCATTTTGCCAAGTACATAGGAAGACATGAGAGCTGCGTACAGGCTGTTAGCAAGCTATCATCAACGCATAATGCCAAATATCTCCCAGAATATTTGGTAGTCATCTGCAACTCCTGCACTCTCAGGAAGTGTGATCAAAGGAACCATGCAGCACAGGCCTAATGGAAGTATGTTGTTAGGTTCACTAATGCTACTCAGCTAATAAAAATACTGAATCATCACAATTTTTATATCTGATTAATTGAAATGATTATTTGCAAAGTTTAAAATGAGAAATGAGAATGCTGTGGCTAGCTCCTAAAAAGGCCGAACCCTTAACATAATGAGTTAACACTTGTGTCTTCTTCTGTGACTATAAATAAACACTTCACCCAGG